CAAGAATCTTCCTTTTTACAGTAGTCCTCCCATCACCTGAGTCTAAAACAGCAAGGCTGTGGTTGGATTACTTTCCTTTGTGAATTTACAAGTTAATTCCTTAGTTAGGTACTGTATGAGAGCTGTATTTTATTGCCAAAGCATGTATGGGGCAGATGAAATGAGCCAGTCTTACATGCTGTTGGACACCATGCAGGTAAATGCATGGAGGATGTACCCTGGGCGCTCCTGTGGCACACTGACCACAGCTTTTCACCATGGTGAGAAGCTGGAGATCAGGTTTTAGCCACCAGCCACATCGGGGAGCTCCCTGTCCTGCAGGAGCTGGTTTGGGGCGGCAGTGCCTGTTCCCAAGAGAGGCGGAGGGGTGAGGGTCCCCTCTGGCTGCTGAGGCCGGCCATGCCGTCACCCCAGCCAAGGGCCGGCCAGCCCCACGGCACTGCTGCGGGGAGACATCCGATGGTGGCGGAGGTTTCCTGGGCACAGCTACAGCCCTGGAGGCAGGGCTCCGCTGGCTGTTTGTGCTCGAGGTGAAGATAAGCTGCTGTAAAACTTTCTGGTTTAGTAATTTTAATGATAACTTTTTAATCTGGTCATTATTTTCTTTGATTGCTAATACCTTGACCTCTGGTGACAGCTGCTGCTTGTGCCTGCTAAACTTTAATGCAGTCTACAGTAAAGAACATTATGGTTATTTGAAAAGGCAGGGTGTAATGCATTTCAGATTAACAGTGAAAGAAAAGCTATTCAAGTTAGAGGTTCACTTTGCCATATCACTCTCTATGCTGCTTTCCTTATTATCAGCACAAAAAATGAAATGAGAATAGCACATCTTTTAATTTTCTTCCACTATTACCTCTTGATTTGCATTCAGAGCTCCCAGAAGAAATACCGCTGAATTCAGAAGTAGTCTATTTAAGCTGCGTGGTGTTTAAAAATTGCTGGAAGAGGTTAAGGTACTGTATATTATGCAGTTGACCTTACTAAGAAGCTATGTTAACAATTTAGACTTACAATTTTCTGCCGTTACATTTTGTTAAAATATTTCTTTTTTTTTTTTTTTTTAAGCAAAATTAATTTCTCTTTTGGTACCCCTGCAGGTTAAACCTTTTGATTTGTCTCTAACTTATTTCATAAGATTTCTAAATTGTATTTAAACTTATTGTACTTAAAAGGTTGTTTTGCCAGTGTCTCTTTGAAAAGAGGGATTTTTTTGGTCTCTGTCTCTCTCTTTGTACCTGGTCTGCAGAGGCTGTGTGCCTTCACAGCATTTTCCTTAGGAGGAAAAAACCCAAACCCTCCATCTGCAGAGTCCTGCAAATACATTTGAACTCTTTTATCTGGCACTATCATGTCTCTGTGGCTGATCGGATTTGAATAAGATGTCCGGGGAAAATATTTTGGATCCCGCCTTTACCAAACAGTAGTAGCCTCCTGGTATGTTGGATTCAGCCTCCCTGGATTTAACCTTTGTTCCCTGGCTCTGTCTAGCAATGGCCAGCACTGGGCCTGGCCATTGAGAAAACCAGCAAATCCTAACAAAGCAACAATAGTGAAATGTGCCAGGGGAGGGGGGGAGCTGCACTCTGTGACTCTAGGCTCTGTAGCCCTAAACAGAGGTGTTTGTGCTCTGTACTGCTGCTTGAGCAAAAAGCCGCATCCATAGTAGAACCCTGTAATGCAGAACTTTTTCCAAAATGCCCAAGGTGTCACCATCCCGGGTCCGTTGCCGGCAGCAGATGTTTGTCATGGACACTGCCTCCCGGTCACCTTGCATCTAAAAACTATAGCTATGACTCTGCCAGTAACTAAAACAGGGTCAGGGGCTCTGGGGCCTGAGGCCAAGTACATGGACTGGCCATGTCGGCACTGTATGACCTGTGACCCTCAGGCATAATCATTATTTTGAACAGGTTTGTATTTTTTCAGTCTGAAGTGTTGAAATAAGGAGGGAGCTGTGCTGCAGTGTTCATGCTGTTCACACAAGTGGGTGATAGAGGTGCGAAGGCTCGTGGGACCCGCTGGAGGACTGCGGGGAGGGGACGGAGATGGGATGGAGGCAGGCCGGACAGGCTTGTCCATATTTCCCACTGGCAGTGGTCCCTGGTACATGCTACCCCACAACTAATGACTGGACACTGAAGACATATGCCATGGTTGGCATGGACCAAAATTAGGCCGAGCAGCGTGCTACAACTAAAGCCATATGGCCCACCAGCCGTGCAGGTCTGGGCATCGCCTTACCCTCTTTTGCTTGGCTGCGTTGGCACAGCATCTGAGCTGGGGCTTACAGACCAGCCGCGAGAGTCAGCAGATAAGGGGTGTCTCTCCCTTGAAGCGGCATGAAGTTGTGACTTGCAGCTGCACACACAGGGTGAAGACAGCATGGGCGTTTTGACACTTCAACATTTCCCGAGTTCCTATTCATTCTTCACACTGTTGCAACAGTCACTTAGACTTCGTACAGCCAGAGCAATGTATTGACAGCTGCCTTCCTGTTGTAAAGTCAACACAGGCAGCAAGAGAAGCCCGCTATGGATCCCAGAGCCAAAAGGCAGTTTTATTCATTTAATCTCTAGGTATGTAGACTGTGATCAGCACCATAGCAACTATCCGAGCCACTTGAATGAGTTAGATACAGAGCTCGCAACACTTGTTATTTATACAGCACCCTTTATTGGAAAATTAAAAAATGCCAGATTCCAGTTTCATGGAGTAGGTAAACTGCATTCATTTGTTGATACAGAGGTGCCATAAAACCTCTAGTTGTATCACTGGGATATATCTACACGATAGAGGCTGTTTGGCAACAAATAAGTAAAACAGTTAGAGATTCTAGGGAATAAAAGAATAAACCAAGGGGATAAAAACATACTAAACAGATGAAGAATTGGTTGATGTGCAGAGCCAAGCTGAAATTTGGCAGCTTTATAAACCAGTTAACACAGAAATAAATGAAAGTCCAAACAATAGGAACAAATCTGGAACAAATAAAATCATGAACTCACAAATGTTATAAATTGGTTGTAAAGATAAAAACATCTTTTGAATGAATTGTGTCCCTGTAGTTTATTCTACTGCATACTTTGCTTCTGGGAAGATTCTGTATCTGAGGAAGCCATATGAAGTATATTCACAGAGCAGTACAAATGGAAATCATTCTCACTTGAAATAATGACACAAATTTGTCTCCACGTTATTAGCTGGTTTTCCTCTGAATCATCTTGAACTTCTAGTCAGACAGCAAAGTTAAAATAAATTATTTCATCATGCTGCAGAATATTTCTTAACTGTGTAATTCTTTCCTTTGCAGAATGCAGGTACTGAGCAGATAGTGGTTCTATGTGTCAGCATTTCCCTGGTGACTCTCAGCTTTTGCAGAATTTATGTTTTGACTAAAAGGATGTAATTATTTTTATGGATTAAAAAAAAATCGTTCTGTGTATACTGACTCCACACAGTCCTGGTCAATGCCAAGAAAAGTCTACTCTGTCTGAGGCAAAACGTAGACTATATCAATGAGGTCATCTCTGAAGCTTAATTATGAGATAATAGTTGCAACCTGTCATTTCAGGCTTAATCAGTTTTATGACATCCAGCTTTGCAGAGCAGAGCCAGTGTGAATGCAATAGGAAAGCCTCTTGCCACTTGAACATCATCATTCCCTTGGCACATGCTTGGCCACCATCAGTGCTTGCCCAGCAGCAGTACAGCCATCCCATGGAGTATTCGGGCTAGCACAAGTGATCTTGGAGGGGAAGGGCTACGTGCCAGATCACCCCTTCCCTCATGGCTTCGGGACCTGATAGACCTCCCTGAGGTGGCTGAAGCCAGAGGCCTCGCGAGTGCCACATTAGCCAAGGTCTCAACTTGCATTAGCCAACCTGAGGTAAAATCCTGTCCAAGATAAGGTAACTCGCAGTGCACATTAGTGACCGAGCACTACAAATCAGTCAGATAGCTAAAATGAAGAATACATCCCTTCTTCATTTAAACCTTTCCAATTTAAATGTTTTCTGTCTTTACACAGGAGGGTAGGGGGCCTCCTTAGAAACTCTAAATGAACCGGCTAATAAAACCGTAGTGTTACATCACTGCAAGACTCTCATCCCCTGCGGCAGGGCTGGATCTGATGGTTATCCATATGACGGTGGATATAGGCTAACTGCGGTTTCGAGGCCCAGCAAATGACAAGCGAAGTTTGCTATATCGGCCAATTAATAGCATCGGTATTTATGCAGGAATGAAGCTGAAAGTGCAAATAAGGCCAGCAACTAAACCTTTCCAGCAATTACATTTAATAAGGTACTGCGTGTTATTTACAGAAAACATACATCACACAATTCCTACACATAAAATGCACACAAAGTATAAAGACAAAAGCGGCACTCTCATAACATGCTGAACAAAATAAATAAAACTGAATTATTTTGGCACAATAGCTATTATATAAATAAATATTCTAGAACATAATGAATTAACATTTATTTACAGTCTATTGAAAGTGCAAAACAATTGGCTGAAAATTAAGATATTTGTAAATGCTTAAGACCAGAAAATACGTGTTAACCAGCCACAATTAATTATAGCTGAAGTTTAAGGTTTTAATGTCCAGGAAATTATTCTCTTGAAATCTGTTTGTGCATATTGTGCTCTTTTTGAACCAGTCCTTTGCTACCTTTATGCTATTGATTTCGACAACCTTACTATCATAGTGGAATTTTGTAAAAACCTGATTGGTAGCTTAAAAAACAAGTAAAATGTAAACACAGATTAATCTATTTATCATTCAAAATATTTTCAGTCCTGTCAGTTTTCTGAAATGGCCACGCTGCTTGCAGTAGTACGCAGTACAATTAAGATTAGAAATTTTTCTTAGTATCTGTTGTATTTCAGGTGGAAATATTTGTAAGTCTTCTCTGAATGGAACTATACCTTGGACCTCTCTTGAACCTACATTCTTTCATCAGATGCTTACATACATCTTCTACTGAGGTCAACAGTAGCTGGGCATGCTAAACTGATGATCAGTTTTGGTCCTGGTCTGGAGAATAAATCATAAAATACAGATTTTTAATTAGGGAGAAAAATACTACCTCCCTTAGAATTGTTAGAAACTTTTTGTGCATTTTTCACTAGCTATCCTTTTTTAACTTTTGCCTTTTTTTATCCACAGGAGAAATCATTTACTACCCTTTAAGATGAATTAACAGTTCACAACATGGCCACCCGTACAGCTACAGCTTCCTCAGCCAAAGTTCTCTGACAGGCTGGTACATTGTGCGTTGCCTAAGACCTTAGGATATGTTTTTGCTTATTTTTGTAGTGGCAGTGCGGTAGTAGAGAAAGTGAAGTTCTTAACAAGTGACCTTGACAGGATAAAAGATCATTTCTCATCATTGCTTCAAATGTTTATGCTCGACGCGGTTCTAGTCGGTGAGACATGTGTGATAAAGTTCTCTGGTTGTCAATCACATTTAATTGCCGCACATAGCTCCGAACATCCTGATGGTTCTTATTAGTTAGGGCTGCGTCGGGATCTGGGAAGAGAGAAATGATGTAGGATTGATACACTTAAACGAACAAATGCCTGAACAGAATGTATAACCCTTTACAAGCTGTCACAGGAAACGCCAGTTCCTGGTGAGTTAAAAAATATTTAGAAATCGCTCGCTTTGAAACCTTTCCTCCATATCTGATAGTCTTTCTGGTTACTACCTCCACAAATTAACTTTTTCTCTCAGATATCCTTGGCTACATTTACTCAAATTGATGGCCCTTGGTTACAGTTTTATACATCACCTTACCAGTCAATAGCTATATATTATATAGCTAACTAGAGTGATTTAAAGCTGCCCATCTGCTTTTGAACCAGCAGCTTTCACACATATTCAAAACTATGTAATTGATTTAAGCCTCCTTTCATGAAATATTCCCATTTCTAGCTCAGTATTACATATCTGTAACACTGTGGTGCTTAGTGGCTGCTCCATTCGAGCCTCAAAATTTACTACCCGTTTACATTACTTAACATAACCGCATTATCCCTACTCCAACAACAATTACGAAATACCACTGAGTTAAAATCTGAGTATCTTCAGCCTCACAGTGAACAGCTTACAATTTAATGAAATATGTGTTAGGTAACTTCTCTAAACGAAAGATACTGAAGCATCTACAATATATAAATACACATGCACACACACAAAAAGCATGGGACTTAGATATGGTACATCTATATACTGACATTTTGTTATATCATGTATAGTGAAAATCTACTTCCATTTCTAAATACGTGGAGGTCTCACTAGTGCTTAATATGTTAAAATTAAAAGATACATAGCCAGAAAAAGCTTGATGGTGGGAGAAATAAGAAACAACCCTGCCTTAACTTGATCTTCTCGAGTTAAGCTTTGACCCAGATGGAAAGAAACTATTTTTATAAAAATGTATTATTTATTCTGTTCTTTGAGAAAGAGGAAGGCTGCTGTGAGGCAAAATGAATGAAGCGCTGAGGAAATGCCAGTTTGACTGGGACTGACAGTGCACCTAGATGGGATGAGACCCACAGAGCAAGCCTGTTTGACCATACAGCTCTGTCATCTTACGTGGCCTCAAGTAAGTTCTGGTAATTACACGGACAAACAGGTTTTAGGTTCATCACCTTACGCAGTTACGTCATTTATAAACGTCATGTTTCCGGACTGGTTTCCTATAAAAACAGGGTTTATCCAAACAAGTTTATCTGGCATGTATCTGTGTGCTGCTGTCTGCTAGCCTTATTTCAACCACTTCTGAACACACTGGCTAATTACAACCGATTCTAATTTGACAGATGTGTAGAGACCTCACAGATATTTAGCTCCTTCACATGCTTGCAAAAGAGATGGAGGAGAAGGGGCTTATTAGAGCTTCCTGAAGGACATTTCACCCTGTGAAACATCGGAGGATCCAAACATGGAAGAATCACTGGAAACCAGGCTTTTCAATTCTGGTACACACAGAATTAGTTGTAATTACTGTAGCTACTGATGGTAATGCTGACTGTGCAGATGTTGTAATACACTTACTGAAAGACTGGCTTCGGCAGAATTTCACCGTCCTGACAGTGTTGGCAATCATGCGCTGGAAAGAAAAGATGGGATGCAATCAGAGAACAAGCACTGTATTTCATCATCATTTAAACGAAGCACCTAACTGTGCCTGAGTGTGAAGACATATGCCAATAAAAGCAGTCATATGAATGAAAATATAATTTTAATGCTGATACCCTCATATGTAGGGTGTGATTTGCATTTACACAGGCTTTAAATGAGCATGAGTGTAATTTACATGCGCTCAGAGAACCCTTTCCCTTGCTTGGATGCTGTAAAAGGCCTTAACTAAGAATGAAAATCAGCCCCTTCAATGTGCATTTCTTTGATAACATCTTCCTGCGTTAAAAAGCAAAAGCAATATCATGTAGAACACCTTGGTGTATGTACACATGTTAATTTTAAGACTATCAGTTCCTAACAGCAAGCCCATTTCTAGAACATACTCGGCAATTAAAGAGCTTTCACCTTTTGTATGAGTTTGAGTTTAAAATGCAGCCCTCCTGGAATATGACAGTGTAAAACGAACATGTGAGGGTGTTAAGTTCACTGATTCCCTCTGGAAGTGCGCTTGATTCACAGGTGAGGCGGCCACCGTTAGAAGTGTGGCCCTGTAGGCAAGTTTCATCAAACAGCCCCGTTAGGCAGTGTTAGCTTGCACTAACTAACCTAACCCAGCATGAACTAGTGTATCTAACCCAGCATGAAAAGTGGATTCACTTTTGGTGTTAATCAATACATTCTGCTCTGACAAATCAGATGCTATTTCACAATAGTTTTTAAGAACAGCAATGAAGGTAAGTCATAAAGCAAAACATTTCAGATTTAGTTCTGGACTGCAAAATTTTAACTGGCTTGTGTGATTAGCACCACACAGGTAATGCACCCACCAGCGCGGGGGCAAAACTGGTTGTTCTGCCTAATACCAAAAACTGAAACTTCAGCAGTAAAACTGCCCTCTTTAGCTAGATAGTTTGTTAAAAGGACAACATTTGTTTCAGTTTCTTTTGCTTAGATTAAGAAAAGGGGGAGGAGCAAAATGCTATTCCTAATCAGAGTCTAATGTTTGTTTCAGCACTTTAACATGGTCCAACAATTACAACGCAGCTACATGTTTTAACACAGCACACTCTCACCAGGCTGCTTCATACCTTCTTGAAATTTTGTGTGAGATTAACAAGCTAGTCATAAGCCCTCACACAATGGAATGTTATGTTTCTTACTAGTAAACAGTAAAACCTAGGCCATATGCTCCTCAAAATTAATACACAATTGTAATCTTACATGAAAACGATGTTATAAATAAAAGACCTTTGTGAAATCTGTCATTCCAAAAGTGGGGAAGCACCAATGTAAAACATTCCTTACACGCATACTGAATAATCTTAAGACATTTTAATGCACTGTCAAGCATACAGAAATGGGTATGGCTGGTGGTCAGCGTTAGAAACACTACTGATATATCATGTACTACATTTTTGTGGATTACACATTGTATAATCAAATTAAATGTAGCTATTCTGAAGCCAATCTAAAATATTTTAATTCTAAAACACAAGGTCCCAAAAGATCTAGGGAATTTGGATATGGGTCTGCTTATATTGTTCCTAAAGTTGTATGTATTTACATGTGGAAAACAAGTAGATTTCAAGTAAGAATAATTTTTATCCTATGTTAATTTTCATACCTCTTCAAGCTGTTACTACTAGGCAGATTTTCTAAGGCACTTATCTTGCAAACAATTCACTTAGCATTAAGCATGTGAATAAGCCCCATTAACTTCAGTGGAACCTCTTAAATACTCAAAGATAAGCACCCATCATAAGACTGGATTGAGACAGAACGCACTGCATATTACAGTGTTGGTTCTTCAAGTCTAACCCAATCAAATGAAAATCAAAACAACATGAACATGTAAACATGAATGTTTCATAACTCTATGGATTCATATTTGGCTCTGTTATGTGATGCTGCTATTTTGATTTATACCATTTCAAAAAGTATTCCCCTAAAATAACTATTTCAAGGAGAGACCAGAAAGTTGAACTGCACCGGCCAACCTGATGAAGTTTCAAGAGTGTCTAACTTCAAGGGAAGCTTTGCTAGAGACACTTAACAAAGATAGCTAGAGTTCCTTGATGCGGTTTCTAGATGGATTGTTAATACACACCCTAATTTTTCATACCTGTAAATGTTTAGATTTTGAAGCCTCATTTCATAGTGATCTTTGTAGCTAGAGTGTAGGCTCAGTGTTTGAGTAGTTCAGTATTAAGAAAAAAAAAGTGTGTTCTGTGGAATCATTTTACTCTTAATTTATGTGGGGAATTTGTTCTGAAAAAAAGCATAGCATTCAGAATAAGTACTGTAATGATGGATTGTACTGAAAGACAAATTATGTGTGTAGCAAAGGTTTTTTAGGTTTTCACTACTTCTGAATTTCTCATTATATGGGCTATCCCAGGCAAGGAAAACCAAAGTGGCAATGAATTCATCCAACTTCTGGTTAAAGGCTGAACTGCCTGGCTTCCTTCAGTTGGCTGAAAGGCTGCATTTTAAGGCCTTACTTTGTCTATTCTTGAGCATAATCTCATTCAGTCTGTGCATTGAGAAGTATCCTGGTGTGCTGCTTTTGGCTGGGATAGAGTTAATTTTCTTCATAGTAGCTACTATGGGGCTATGTTTTGGATTTGTGCTGAAAACAGTGTTGGTAACACAGGGATATTTCAGTTATTGCTGAGCAGTGCTTACACAGCATCAACCCTTTTCTGCTTCTCACCCCACCCCACCGGCGAGTAGGCTGGGGGTGCACAAGAAGCTGGGAGGGGACACAGCCGGGACAGCTGACCCCAACTGACCACAGGGATATCCCACACCGTATGATGTCATGCTCAGCATGTAAAGCTGGGGGAAGAAGAAGGAAGGGGGGAATGTTCAGAGTGATGGCATTTATCTTCCCAAGTAACCATTATGCGTGATGGAGCCCTGCTTTCCTGGAGATGGCTGAACACCTGGCTGCTGATGGGAAGTAGTGAATGAATTCCTTGTTTTGTTTTGCTTGCATGCACGGCTTTTGCTTTACCTATTAAACTGTCTTTATCTCAACCCACGAGTTTTCTCACTTTTACCCTTCCGATTCTCTCCCTCATCCTACGGGAGGGGGAGTGAGCGAGTGGCTGTGTGGTGCTTAGTTGCTGGCTGGAGTTAAACCATGACACCTGGCAATGAGGAAACACAAAGGAATGAGGAAGTGGGTGTTAAGGTAGAATAAATGGAGAAACTGTGGCCAGAAGACAGCATCGAAACCCAACGGGGAAGATTCTGGAGCATTCTGTATCCTTGAAGAGCTCCTATCACATTGCTTTTTTCCAAGTGCTGTTGTACTGTCTAATATAAACTCAAAAGAACTCCTCTTTGGAAGGTGCAGATTGAACAGAAAACCAGCATATGAAGCAAAAGTGAATTTCTCTTCCTGGATCTTGTAGATAAGTTGGATTGTCTTCTTTTGAGTCAAGAAAACTAGAAACATGTACAGGTAAAATGTTCAGGTGGAAGTTTAATTGCCAGCTCCTTACGATTTTTCTTCATATAAAGGATTGCCTCTAGTTAATGCCTCTGTTTACTCACTGTGCTAAGACAGACCATTGTCGAAAAGCCATACAAACCTAAATTTGGATCTTTCTGAAACAGAATCAACTGCATAATATAACAAGCAACCGCTACTACCAGCATGCTATATATACACGACAATACCCTTTCAAGTTTTACACAGTCTGGAATAGTGGCAGCAGGCCAGCACATTATCTTCTAATCCATTCCAAACCCAGGTTTCTAAATGTTATAAATATTCATATATGCCATAGAAAACTACTAAGGGCTTTAGTCACATACTTTTTGCATAATCTTTATGTTCCAAAATGAAAGAATGTTTGCCCTTTTTTTGCATAAGGATCAGAGTGTGAATTCCCTTTTGTTCATCTCCACAACACCCGAAAACCAATATGCACAGATTCTCTAATCCTCATTTCACACCTGAAGGGTGAAGAGGCTTGACAAAAAGAAGCATCGGTGGCCAGCATCATGGCACTGTCTTGTGCTGCCATGGCAGGTCAGCACTTTCAAAGCTCTTTCGTGACTTCTGCTCCCTCTTCAGGTGCCATTTCTGAGACATGCCGGGTAGCGCAACATGGAGATGGTGCCATAGAAAGTGATCTTTGTTTAGGCTGTCTGATGATTTGAGAAATGGCACTGATAAAGTTCCCAAAAAATTGCATCTTCCCTCTATCTATGAATGCAAAATTCTGTACTGGCAGTCAGAGTGCAGGATTATGCAGCTGAGGTTTGAAAAAAGCGGAAATCCGTAAGTGGTCAGGAGTATGAAATATTGCCTGTCCTTAAGGAGAGTCATGCTCAGTACTTTCCTCACTTTTCCTCTCTCTTCTTTCCCTGGCAAGATATAATTCTAGGAGAGGGCTTTTACATTTTTTTCTAAATATACAGCTATGAAAGCAATGTCACTTAAATGTTATGTATTGCCATGTACTGCGCTGCAGGTTGTAGGTTGTCCTGTATCTGCTAAATCATACAGGGTTTATAGGAACTAATACTACTGACAGCTTTGGGGGCTCTCCTTCACGTGCGAAGAGGGTCATTAATGGACCTAAAAGACAAATGTGTGTTCTAGATCACAAACTAATTGTGTTTGCTGTCTACTGCCATCTTATTATCTTTCGCTTACTTGCAGCTCTCAAAATATCCTCAACCTGCCAAACTACAACTGCAGCATTTCAAAAACTTTACAAGCCTATTTATTCCTTGTTTCTCTATGACAAGTATGTCTTCGTTTTTTACATAGATGGGTCTTCTAAAGCAACACTTACAACTAACATCTACTGTCAACTCACTAGTGGAGAAAAGATGCAGGTAGTTTTTACCATACAAGGTCATGGAGTATATACCAACCTAGAAGGTACATCTGAGCAACACCATGGTGGAAACAGCTTGTACCTTGTCTCCATCAGCTTCTTACAGTGAGATAAGTAAAAGACCTTCAATACTTCTCTAAAACCATGTCTTGTTTGGTACCGAAGACAAAGCCTTTTACTAAAGACTTATACTACTAATACCAGTAATTCAGTTATTCTGTCTACTTACTGACAAAAGTATAAATAACATGTTCCAGGCTGGATTTTAAGGCCAAATGCTTGTTTCCTCTCCTGCCGCTTCATGCAATAAATGGCATAGTAAAGAGCACAAGTACAGTGCAAATACAAAGTGTATACCTATTTCTGGCACATTCAGTATTGTTTGCCCACATCCTGTACAACCAAATGGGCCCGCTTACAAACTTCCCTCTTCACACATAGCTGTGGCTCTACCACACATGGTATTCTCTTCCCTGGCGAGCAGTCCCTGCCCTCCCACTCCTCACAGCCTCCTCCAAATAAGAGGCATCCTTGGGGATCAGGAGATGTGGAAGGGGAAGAAGGAGCAGGCAGTTCCAAAGGCAGCAGCAGGTAAGGCTCGGCAATGCTCTGCAGAGTGATGTCCCCCACTACTGCCAATACCACAGTTCTGTCACTACACCTCTGAGAAGACCGATTTACAGGAAAGTGTGGCAAGAGAAAATTGACTCGGTCCCTTTCCTTTTTAGCTTGACTTGCTAAAAAAACTGGGCTAATGTAGTTTACCACTACCTGCCTGTTTTTGCCACCTTCTCTAGACAATTTTGTCAAATTTGAAAAAAGAACCCAGAGTTTTCAAAGCATAAGAAAGCTCCTACCAATTTTCTGTGAAAATAGATGGCTATGGACAAGAGAAAGATTGTGTAAGCACCCTCTTCTCCTGTCGCCTTCAGGGAAAAGGCTGTAGTGCAAGTTCCTATGTTATGACAAAAGCCTATTCACACAGAATTCCCCAGCCATGAAGAAGCCAGATGTGCCCCAGCCACGAGGAAAGCTCTGAGCAGAGCTCAGGCAGCCATGAAACGCAAATGTTTAGGAAACCAGGCCTCACTGTTTCTGGCACTAGGGGAACTCCTGGCTCAGACACTGTCTGACAGCTCCTGCGTGTTTTAAGATGCATCATTTAATACAAATAATAACAGAAACATCAGAAATCATAAAAGATTTAAAAGAAGCTGTTTCAGCTGAAGAGTTGCCACTAGATCAAACTTCTACTTTTGGCTGCCAGTTACAGGAATAAAGTTGTCAGCAGCACATCAGCTGTTGGGATCAGAGCTCTGTGGTGAGAATGCAGACACGATGCCAGAGGCTGTTCTCGGTTTCATCACTGTGCCTACACGAGAGTCAGAGGGACCCACCTCCTCCGGTGGCAAATGGCATCACCAGTGGCAACTACCCAGATATTTTTATTCATAAACTTCATCAAGCATCAAAATAAGGATGATCAAAGGAAATAATTTTCCAAAGAACGAAGATATTTTAGACAGATCAGTAAGAGTGGCTCTCAGCAATATTCAGAGGCATCTCCATCTGCTTGTGACAGAACATCGTGCAGCAGAACAAACAGGTAGAAAAAAGAAATGGCAGGGCTTGATTCCTGTGAGGAAATCTGGTTTCTGTTTTTCTCCTGAAAATGGCAAATAACATCACAGATTTACCTTGAGTTTATACTTATGTAAAAGAGAGCTGAATTTATCTAAGAGTTATCTGGCTGAGTGGTCTTGTCTTCACTAGTTAATATCTCGCAATTATGTGTGGATATGACAGTTGCAAGCTTAACGCAAGTAGGCGGTAGCGACTGAGGTTTAACAGTAGGCTTTTCTTCTTTGCTTGACCTGATGACACATGCAAAAAGCTAAAAACTGCCAGGTCCACATTAGGATTTGAATGAATTATGTGGGTGGAATCTGAATACATGTTGCTTTGAAGAGCTATGGGTTGAGAGAAGCAGTAAAAACACCATTGAAGCATGCAGAATAGCTAGTGAAGAACATTAAAACCACAAAAGATATACTTGTAGTAAGGCCTGGAGAAAAAGCAGAGTGAGCTTTTAGGTAGAACACTAACTGAGGAAAGGTTTAGAATACTGAGAAAGGAGAATGTTTGCCTTCCCATTGTGTGGAGGAACATGACATTATATTGGTTCTTTGAAAAATATATAGCGTCAGAAATACATTAATTGATCTTCACTTCCCCCCCCAAAAGGAAATGCTCAAAGCTCAGATTACTGATCAAAATGGGTGACACTACATTATGCAGTATAAAATTTTATTTTAAACTTTTGGGTGCTACTAGTAAATCCATGTTCTAGAGATAACACACTCCTGAAGATAAGGCAAGGTGCAGACTAGGGTGAAAGGGCAGACCTGCAGCAGCCTAGATATAGATCGGTTTAAGCTGCTATAAAATTCACTCTTGGCCTTGGGAGTGCCAAACTGTGGTATAGAGTGGTGCAGAACCATTTCTAAATGGGTTGAACTTCTGTCTATGGGCAAGTGCTCATAGGACACCTCCTGCCTCCTGTAATGGCTTTTGCACATAATCTGGCATAAAGAAGAGCCTGAGGCATACAGCTCTGAGGCCTGTGGATGTACCGGCTCTTCTGGCTCAAGAGCTGTAAGTAGGCCAAGTGAAGTGGAGAACATGGCGCCAGGCACATAGCCATGGCTATAGCAATGCAGCTGCCATCCCTCCTGGTTTGGAGGTGCTCCAGCCAAGTCCAAGATCCCTTTGAGTTCCCCAAAATATTTACTAGCTACACTAAAATATATATATTTATCTATCTAATTAGAACAGGTAGTCCAGAAAATCATCCTTTTCTGCAGGTAGAAGGCTCAAGGCCTTTGGAAGGAGGTGGCAACACAGTCTGCGTATGCAATTACAGAATGTCATTATTGCAAAGTGAGGTCAGGCTCTTACTCAGGCATTAGCACTATCATTTACCCACAGAAAAGTCTCAGCTTAGTGGAGAGGTATTTTCATGCTAGGACAGAGGCTGTCCTGGAGCTACAGACTAAAATCTAAGAGAAGAATTCACTCAGAGCCATGATCACTTCTCTGTGTTTTCTAAAGAGCTGAAAGTCCTCCTTTTTTCCCCTCCGCGGTGTCAGGGCTCAGAAGGTAAGACAAGCTCCTCTGTACTGCAGTGACAATAACCATGGAGTGGTTCTGGTTACTGTAGTACTAAGAACAAGCAGATATAGGTGCCAGGGTAGATATGCTCTAGCACGGCTGCTGAATGGAGCTTTACTGCCAGAACAGTAAGACAGATTTTATTTTGCAGTGCAGCTGCTCATAGCTGGGCTCGGCTAACGCTGGTTCTCAAATGCAGGTGTCATTAATGACATTAATTAAGAACATGGCCTTAGCAACCAAGAAAATGGCTTCTCAGTGCTGAGAAACTTGAGTTTCAGTTGAGATTTCTGCCATGGGAAGTTGCCTGCCTGCAGTATTTGACAAAGGTGTTTGAAATGATGAGAGCTTAGGTGCAGGATTTAAAATAAATCAAATTTGAGCATAATCTAGCCTTCTATCATTGATCCCCCTTTCCAATACGAAAGCAATCAAGTCACAGAAGTCTCCTTTCACTTGTTAAAGGAAAGAAGAAAATAAGATGTTGTCCACATTCTGCATTAAGGCTCCTTTCATTCTCTGAGGAGCAATGCAGAACTATCCCAGCCTGAGGCAGTTCAGTCCTGTTTGAAGGAACAGCAGTTAAAATCACAGCCTGGTCCCAAACTGGCTGTTAAAAATTGCCTCTAACAGCTCTGCTTCCTGTCACTGCTGCTGCCTCTCCTAGGAAGCATTTTGGCTGTGCATGGCTCAGTGGGCAGTTTCTTCTCCACCTCTGTGAGGTTTTCCAGAAACCCAGAGGTCCCAGGCGCTGTGCACAACACCGACTATTTTTGGCAGCTCTTGGTCCTGCTTTCACTTTCTCTAGCTCTGGAAGTCATTGTTGAGAAGTTCACTCTTGAAGAGATGTATAGGGAGGTCTTTTTAAATTTTCATTTCAAATATGCCATACATACCATTTTTTCAAAGTTTACTAGATTGTCAGTGAATGTCTTGTTTCCCTCATGAGTAAACGTCATGTCTGTATGGAAATAAAAGCCACATAAAAGTCCATTACTGAATCATGGCCATACAAAACAGCAGCACATTTTAGCTATCCCTTACAAAAATCAAAGCAGCTATAAAAGTAAAACATTTAGTTTTTAATTTGCAGCATTTCTGAGACTAGTAAAATTGAGGTATGATATTCAGATGTACTAAAGCAGTTTTTCCTGTCTCTGTGTCATGCTTTTTATAATGGAAAAAGATCATACCTCACACTGAGATTGATTTTTGCTTTTTCTTGCTGCTACTCTTATTCTTCAAATATTTGACAAATAGCTTTCAAGTTAATAATTCTGGTAACATCCAAGCTTACCTTTTATAAGTAGTGGCATGAAAGGAATTATTGGAGGGTCCAATTTAGCTACAGTTAGTCTGTAGGCCCTATGGTTTCTTGATGGATCCTTAAGAAGAAAAGAGAAATCAAATAATTACTAATATGTATTATTATATGTATTGCAACACTGTATGCATTCATTTAGATGTCATGGCATTTATTAAAATCATTATTTTCTCCTGTGGCTTTAAAAATGCATCTGCAAACTAAGACACCTTTCATCATTCTCCCATAGAGCTTACGTGATGAAAATGCAGCCGCTAAACACAAACATTTGTCATGCCAAATAGCAAGGTAAAATATGATTACAAAAAAATTGTTCATAAAAGGAACCACACGTTTTTCCTCCCTCCTTGTAGCTGCAGATCCAGTTTTGCATATGTCGTAACACTAAAATGTATTGCCTGGAAAAATCCAGGTTGGAAAATGTAATTTCCCATATGTACTATCAGAAAACATGTGATAAAGCTTCTCTGAGTTCCCAGATTAACTTTGAGTGGTACATAAGTTCTCTCAGAGTAGGTTCCTAAGAGTATAATTTATTAGTCATACATACTTGTTTTAGCAGCTCTAAAATGGGATCATAAACTTCTTAAAGTCAAACAAGGACATATAAAATGTTCTGAATCAAGGAATTCAAATCAGTTACTCAGAAACTGAATTAGCTCAGATTGTGCATAGAATAAGGGATCTATTCACCATTAAGCTTTCAAACTCTGCATAGATCTTCTTGAACTTGCTTGGAAGTTTCTGTTAATAAAAACAAAAATAGCAAACCTTAATTAAATCCAATTTGTGTGGTAATTTTACTGTAAATGCTAGTTCCTTCTACAACGCCCTAAGTCAGGAAAGTGCTCTTTTTGCCAGATATTTCTAACAATGTGCTAATCTAAAATACAACATGTTTCCTAGCAACCAGATTATAAATAGAGACGGGACCAGCCATGAAACCTGGATCCTGATTTAAACCCCAACTTGAATTTACTCCTTTGGGATGTTTAGATTCAGATTTTTGTTTGGCTCACATCACAATCACTGAATTCAGAATGTAAGTGAAAGTTCAGGTCAATGGTTTCAGGACATTCCTGATTATAGCCTATCTGAAAATATATTTTACACACAGCTTGCGTAGGGGTAGCTCAGCTTAATTATTCATACCTATGATGAACTGCCCTTGCAACATTCAAATCCATGCCTGGGCATTTCCAGGAGGTTTTTTGTTCATGCTGATGTATCACCAACTATTGCTCAAATTCTTGACATGCCCAGCAGCCAAGGGCCTCTACTGCTTTCTGGGGTATAAATCAATGAATAGTTTTTCAGTCCACAATACCTACACAAATAAATGATGGTCAGTTGATCATGCAGTGATTGGCATGAGATGGGCTTTACTAAATATTTTCTTTCCCCCTCATGTTATGCTATACATATTCAATAATTTTACTGTAAAGTCTATAAGATATGTTATAAATTAGTTTCAGAGATCACAGTAATGTTTTATGCACACTCAGAATATGTCCGCTTTCTAGTTTTAATAAGAAATTTCTCTATGTTTGCTGATTAAATCAGACAACTACTGGCAGTGGGTAACATTAAAAATTAATAGAGACTTTATAGTGCAGAAATGATTTTTTGCAATACTTTCTACATTTGGAGTGTGTACCCTAGCAAGATATTTACACTGTGCCACAGCAAGGGCCTAATTTTTAATGATGTGTGTCAACAACTGTGTGCCTAGTTTGCATATGCATGCAGATTAGGTATTTGTGAAATAAGTGGTATAATTGGACATTTGCACCTGCAAATATCTAATTTGTGCATGCAACTAATGTAAATGCATGATACTATAGCAAAAATCAGGTCTTGATATGTTTGGTTTTAAGTATATTCTGTATATATATCTGGCTAAAAATCAAGCTGCAGAGATTCTCTTGATAAACTGACTGCCCTACAGAATCAGAGTGTGATAACACTTCCCTGAAGTTCATACCCCACACCTGCAAATGATCTGAGCCCCTCCAGCTCAGTCCTTGTGCCCATTTCAGATTGCTGTATGTAGTATATACATTCAATTCCCTCTTTTCTCTTCATACTACTCCTGTACTGTCTCAGCACTCCTAACTATTCCTCTCAGTAGCCAGAAATGAAGGGTCATTATTTTGAGAAACTGACCTGCAAATCTTTGTCTTTAGCACTGATTGGATATGCCACTTGCAGCCTGTACTTTTGAAAACTGGGCACTGTGTCTTCTCAGATGTGTTAGTCTGATCTCCTGTTTCAGAGCACTTTTTTAAAGGTGTTCAAATTTTGGTCTCAGGTGCATCAATGACCTCAGTCATGCTAACTATTTTGAATTTCTAACGAACAAAATACATGCACATTCAAATCTGCACTGCTTTTGACAACCGGTATGTTCTTAGTGGTTGCATGTGCTTACCACCTTACCCTGCTAGACATTGCACCCTCTTTATATACTCACATACAAAAGAGCAAAGCCACAGAAAAAGGTGGAAGCTGTGAGAATGAAGACCAAACTGATAGTAAGCAGGGGAACACATGCCAGAGAGAAAACCAGAACTGGTTAGGACAAACCCACATTTTAATAGGGCAACAGAGTCCATATCCAGATCAGAAAATGATATGTATAAACAGAGGATGGATTTTAGAGAAGTATCCATGGAGTGATCTCACTAAATGATCAGTAAAGTCAAACGGAGGATGGGCTGGTGTAAGAGGTTAACTGGCTAACTCACTCATCCTGTTGGGTGGTTTAGCTCATCAACAGAAGCTGCTGTTGTCACTTGTTAATTGCTTGGGAGTATTCAACACATCTCTGGGTATACTGCCTTACTAATAAAAATTGTCAGCCTTAGCTAAAGGCTTATGCTCAGGAGCTGAATTAGTAGATCTAATTTTACCAACAATAAAGGCCCAAGTCATGTTTTTGCTACCTAAAAGCATAAATCCCAGTCAAACTTCTTGGAATTGGATTTTAGCTAAGACTTACCTCCCACGTTAACGAGAGACGGCTCACAGCAACATTACTCAGTCCCATAATAATAGCGAAAAAGGAATTCAGATTTTTGTATTCTTTACAGCTGAAACACAAAGCGCCAGGGTTTAAGTAGTATATACCAGTCAGGGCAGAAGTACACATGACAACATGCTGAACCCAGGCATCTACCATAGATGTGACTGAACTTGGGCAGCCCTGGCCAGCATGCCTGCGGCACACCACTTCCCCAATGTGTGAATAATTCACCACACTCTGGAGGCTCCTTTCCCCTCCCTCCTAAAATGACCTCCTGCTTCCACTGCACTGGGTGCCAGCTTCTGCAAGGACATTAAAGGAGTCTTTGAAGCTCCTCCCCACCCAGAAACATAGTCCAGAAACTGGGCTCAATTCACTCCCAGGGAGTAGCAGAAACAGTGGAAGCGGCTGTTTACAACCTCATTTGCTGCAGAACTTGCTGACAGCTTCTGAACAGCTACTGAATGCTGGAAGCTCTCCCTAGATGATCTTCGTGTAGTTTACAGGGGCACTGAGTCTTTGTAAAGGGAAAAGACCAGCTGTCTAGAGATGCCTGTGTGCCAGTGACCTCTCTCGTTGTATATGATTTGTATATAAATCTATATGATTTCTAACTAGTACTTGTAGATTCTGGAACTCTTTAGGATGTTTCAAGCAATAAAGAGGTCCTGGGCACTAGGAGCTCTAGGTCATGTTTCATCCCTAATGCAAAGGAGAACTTTTGTTACCAATTGGGAAAAACTGGAACATGTAACTGAGTATTATGGAAGATCCAATACACCATATGCAGGAGTAGACACTATCTGACAGGAACAGGCCACACAACTGCTCAGCTGGGATTGCATCAGGTGGCTCATGGATTCAATGTGACAGGAAGAAAGAGAACAAAGCCTATGTCTCATAAATCTGTGTCTCACTAGGTTCCTGCAAATAATTTGCTTTTTTTTCAGGACTGATTTGCCAACACCTGATTTCAGCACCCCAGTCTCTGCTTCTTTTGCTGTTTACCAAGAAAACTTTCAAGCTATGATCCTCAGATAGATTTTTTTATTCATCACTGAAGCTCTTAGCTCCTCTGAGGTATCCTCAGGTCCAGACGAAATTAGTACAACCATCACATCCTACTGTCGGACTCCATAATTGCCACATCACCCTATCGTTATTCTGTTCTTTCTGTCCCTGCATTTCACCAGACTTGATGTATTGAGTGGGTGAGCCCTCTAGATCTGGGCCTCACTTGTGTCTGCACTGTGTGAACACTTGAGCGCATGAAAAAACAATCTCTCCCATCTGATGGTCTGTCTGTTGGAGACTGCTGCCCCCTCAGACCTTCTGGCAGAGCTGCTCATACAAATTCTCCCACATCAGATTAGGGACAGTGAGCAAAGTTAGAGAAGATAAGCTGAAATGCTAAAGCTACCCCAACTTATTCTGACTAGAGCAGGTCAGGGAGTGCCTCATTAGTGGATCTGAGGGGAGATAAGGATGAAAAGTAGCCAGGATAGGCTGTCAGTGATAACCTCTTCCCCAGGCACAACTAAATCCAGAAAGAGGTATCTGTCCACAGCCTGTGACATTGAGAATAAATTGTGGCACGGTAAAAATAGTTAGTACCACACAGCAGTAGTGCTCAAACATAGTAGGCACCTGCAAATCTTTCTGCAATATGTAATTTGAATTTATCTTTCATTTTAAAAAGGAAAAGTTTTGCCAAATACCCTGTTAAGCAATGTAATTTGACAAAGTCCCTCTTAAAATCCATCTAGATCTATGACATTCTACACCAAATATTCTGTAAATTCTACAGGCTCTACACTAAATAGCTCAGTTCCAGATAGAGGACCACTGTAAGGAAGGCGAAACAGTGCTGCATGGCTCCACTGCATATATGCTGCCTGTAAAATGTCAGAAAGTGAATCCTCCAAAGCACCACAGTGTGCTCAGAGCAGAGGTCCCTCTGCCTCCCAAAACAGACTGTACTGGAAAAATCTTCCTGTTAGTATGAATTGTGAACACACACATATGCACACACTCCTGGCTCCAACACAAACACACGTGTGGTTGAAATCTCTTGGTATTTACACGAACATATTCGTCTTGGCATTTTCCCTGTAAACACACACCCTTCAAAAATTTCTTACAGGCTCCTTGGGCTTATAACATGTGCATGTGTATGGAAAGAATGATTTTCAAAAACTGAATGAAAGTGTCCAAGTGTAGTGATACACAAGAAGGCTTCTAAATAGCCTGTGAGTATATCTGCAAAGAGGAAATATATACAACCTGGGTTTGTGGCTATCCATAAGAGTAGGAGCAAGTACATCCTAGAAGGCCTTTCTAATACAATTAATATGGGAAGAACTCACTGTAGGAAATATAGTTCGCTTCTCCCCTTTGTTTGAAAGTTTAATCCTACAACGGCTGGAGATAAGAGATGAACCTGGTAACCTCTACATCCTTTCCCCGCAGATGCAAAGGCAACAGCGGCTCCTGGAACTGAAAGCAGATGTGCACAGCACTTGGAGCCAGCACTTGGCCTCGCGCTTGCCCGCGCAGACAGGGAGCGCACATCAGAGGGTGCGTGGGGTGGCGGACGCAAAATGACGTGCCTTCTCTGATGGCGTCTAAGCCCCCCGGCGCAGAACTGACACAGGGTTCTCAGTAACAGTTATCTTTGAAAATTGCTATGTGCAAGGCATCTCGTTACCACCAGTCATGCCTAAGATTAATAGCGCAGCGCTGAGCTCTTCTCCCCGAACACTTTTCTAATGAGTCTAGTACTTCTAGGTAGGGTAAAGTTCTCATTAGGTCTCAAGGATCTTCACAAGCAAAACTTCCTCAAAGATATTGCTTCAAGGCCTGGGCCCGCATCTTTTGATCCAATTCCTTGGCTTTTTCTCCCCTCTAACTTCGGTGCGCTTTGTGTTTGTTTTAGCGCGTGCCGTAGCACCTGTTGCCATGGCAGCACTGCACAGAGGGCAGCAGCCTGGCAAAACTTCCAGCGGCTGCAATTAAACCGGCCCGCTGGGTTTGTTCGGAGGAAAATCTTATGCTTCGGATTTCTCTGCTTTTAGGAGACAAAGAGGACTCAGCAGAGCAGACCATTTTTAGCTATTTATTTTTAGCATTGTAGTGATACCAGAAACATGGAAGTAAACAGGAGGTTGTCAAGCTGTTGTAAATAGCATAGGATTAAACCCATGACACTGAGGAACCCATGGGCTAGGGCAGTTTATTAAAGAGATATTTAACTGTAATTTTTAGGATACTCGATTTCAAGTGTTTATGGAAATTACTATTGTATCATGATTTACCACATTGCAGCATTTTCCCATTTCATGCCTCTGAGTTTAGAAAAGACCCTGATGCCTCTGCGTGTGGGTGCCACTGCCCTCTCCTGGACACAGCCCGCCAGACTGGCGGCTTGCTTCCCAGCTTTGCTCTGCGGAATGAGATAATGGAATATGCGGTATATATATTTTTAGAAATTAAAGAGGTAAATTGTGTCCTCTGTTCTGAAGATAAACCTGATAAACCTGCATGCCCACCCCTAGATTTTGAAAGTCTTCAGCTTTGACCAACCCTCATCTGACCGGAGGGCCCAAAGCAGTTCCCAGAAGGAAGTCGGTGCTTGCAGAGCAGGGCTTGTCCTGGAGGAGGGAGCCAAGCTGATGCAGAGTTTCGATGTGAACACTGATTTCAGCTATGTGGAATTATTAACTGGGAGGAGGGCAGCATCACAGCTGTAATAGTAATCTCTTCCTTCACACAACTACATTTAATGATGCAAAAAAGTTAAAGCGCATGGTTTAACTGCAAGCAATAACTTCTTTGTTCGGCAAGGCTGCCTAAAGGCCTCTAGTCACAATGCACAAAGTCGTAGACAAACAAACAGGCAGTTCCTCACCGCACACCTCAGCAAACTGTTTGTTCAGATGGCGATGAATATAATAAATACACCACGAACTGGGAAGGAAGGAAGAGAGTAACAGTGATAAAAAACTGCAGCTATGCAGGGCAGGGGCATGCCCCTGCTCCCTCTGAAGTCAGTCACACCCTTGCCCTTGACTTCAGCGATAAGGAATCAAGGCTGACATCTGTGGCATGAAGGCTCCAAGAGTTTAAGTTTTAATATGAATAAAAGAAGAGAAGACACCAAGAATTGCCTGCTAGCCAACCTCAGACCCAGCAGTTAGTAACAAAAGAGGACATTCATATTTTTGCATTTTTAAACAAAAGTATCGGAGAAATATACCAAGCAGACTGAAGGTAACATGAGCCTTGTCATCTCCATACTACATCTCTTTGCTCTCCCCTCTCGGTTTTCCCACTTGTGGCAATTCTGAGAAAGGTTTTCCTGAACAGCACCAGAAATACTTCTGTTCTCAGAAAAATTAAGGCTCAGTTTTGTTATCATTTACTAATTCACATATTAATATTTGCTAATGCATGTAAGGGTAAATGGAGGATTCTCCTAATGAACTGAAATATATTTACTCACAAATGTTACGTGAAAACATGGCCCTAAGTGATCACAGGTCAAGGAGCAATTGATCACAGATCAAGGAGCAATGGAGAGTACGACAGGAAAGAAGAATATATATTAACAAGGTTCTATACAGCCCTATATGAAAATGGACAGAACTACCAAATAGACAACATTTTAACCTCTACTGTGTGTGGCTCTGTGTGTGGCTGTCTGAAAATAAAAAATAACAAAAAATTGACTATACTGAACCTCATTTCCAGCTCACAGATGACTGTATACTTACTGGGCTGCTATCTTAATATACTTCTTTAACAGCTGAACACGCTTGCTGAGTTGAGAGCAAAGACAAATCTCAGTGACCACCCAGAACTGAATTTCATTAAATCTTCTTAAAAACAAGTCCAGATTTGCTGTGGTCTTTTTAAAATTGTGCCTTCCAAAAGTGTGATAGATCAATTCCAGCTAGGAAAAAGAAAACAGTTTTTTCAGAAATCTCATCTTTTGGACAGAGGAAAGAGGCTAAGAATGACGACGTAAGTATCTAGCCTGAAACTTGCTCTGCAGTTTACGTTTATTGCTGTACAGATGACAAGGATTCTGCTGCAAATCCAATAGACAAAAGCTGAGGCATACTAAGAGCATAGCTACAGACTATGTATAAATAGCTTAATACCTTGAAACATACAAAAGTAATTCAATAAGCAGCACATATTCAGGAGAAGTTTAACTGTATTTTTGCATTTTGCCTATAAAATTAAGAATGCCTTATACTTTCAAAACTTGTAGGTGGCTTTATTGTAGTATTTTTGAAAATCAAGCTTAGAGAAAGTTTTGCAAATAATGCACAAACGTACAATGTACAACTAAACATTTTCTAACAGATTCTAATCTGCTGAATAGATAGATCTTCATACCTCATGCACACAGTTGAAGAGCTCCCAGTCATAAACTGTCATTTGATGTGCTAAGTCTTTTGAGCTCATCAGTTCGAATGTTCCCACTGTACCAGTAGATGGTCCTTCTTGTTCTGGTAATGGTGTCTACGAATGGAAAAATGGTATAAAAATATTTTAGAAATACTAAATTGCATGATTGGTGCTTTTCTTCCATAATGTTTCTGATTTTTTTTCTTCAGTGTGACCACTTTCCTAAGCGTGTTTCTAATAGTAAAACTGAAACTTGCTTTTAACCACAGGCTGGCATTAGGAAATGAGAAGCCCTATGCAAAACCAGTATCCACTATGCACAGGACAGTCAGGAAAATTCTGAAAGCTCTTCAGAGGCACTGTAAGGAAATAAAACAGACTGTTCTCAGTGTGTTATTTTTAGCATTGTTCTAAAATTTGAAGCCAGAAATAAATACTTCAATGCACGTTGTGCTACTAAAGCATGTCTGTTTTGGAGCGCAGGTCTTTCCACAAAGCTTTTGTTATCGGTTCCATTTTTCACATACACAAATAACTTTTGCAAATTACTGATTCTAATTATGAGAATTATTACATCTGCCATACTTCAGAAATCTGCAGTGATTGCAAGATCTTCTGATCATTTATAAAATAAGCCTCATACTTTCTCTTTGACAGTACAGGGATGCACTATTTGTGATTGCAGAACTCCTGGCTATGCTCATTAAAGTTATATGCCCACAGTCTTATGAGAAAGAATCCTTTAAGTCATTCAAGTATAAAACATTTTTGAAAGACACTTCCATACCACCCAGTAAATGAGACGTGATCTACAGTTTTGCGCACAAGTAAATCTTATATTAAAGAGAGATTTAAAACATGGCTTGAGATAAGTCAGATTTGAAGTAGTCTCCTGTATATATTAGGGTCAAAGTGTTTGAACCAGCGCTGCTGAAATCTTAACAACCAACCCTCTTGCAAATCCAAATGCGTTGCCACCAGTAAAGCTGCCTGTGAACCCTCGCTTTAATCGTTTGGTTTCCAGGAGAGGGCAGTAGAGCTCACTTACAAGTTTCCCAATATCTCATGGGGTCTTTGTTAGACATCCACAGAGCTGGGAATTGTCAACAGGCTCCTCTCTGCGTACAAACGCAATAGAGTCTGCAAGACTAACAGACCATATTTATGTACTGGAATATAAAAAATGAGCTTACTAAATGAATCCCTTTTTATATAAGAATATCGTATTACCAATAGGAAAAGGACTGACTGCATTAATACATCAAATCACTTTCCCAATAACACACAGTGTGTAGGAGCTTTATTTCTGTGTGAGTTCTTGCTTTGTACTCCAGGGAAAACTTGTCTTTCAGATATCATAATACAAACTAATTAAAAATCATTAAACTAAACCACAGGCATTATTACCTTAAAAGCTCCATCTACAATTTTAACAAATAGTGTATCTAAGCAAAGTACTATCTAAAAAAAACCAGGACAGCCATCAATCTTATAACAGCCTGCAGATTGCTCTGAATTGGGATTTGCAGAAACACAAAATTTCTTTAGTTTAAGACAGAGCGTTAATTAAAAGTACAGCAGTTTTGTGTAGAAAATCCTAATTTGTGGAAATCCATGGAAAGAGAATTGCCCATGGACTGGAAGAGGGCTTTTTTCCCCTATTTGGAGACAAACACGACATAGCTGTTACCATAACAAATACATATTTTCCAAGGCTAGGAAAGAAGCACTTAGATGCAAACTCATTGCATATTTGAAAATTCATCTAACCCAGAACAATTTTCACATGGGAATTGCCAAGTGTAATGTGAATAAATATACACGCACAGGCAACAGCCAGAAATTGGAATGTGAAAGGATTAAACTGGGAGGCAGGAAAGGTTGTAACATTTTTCAATTTGCTTATACCTCTTCGAAAAAATGCAGCTGATAAGGGGATGTATTGTGTTATGCAGTGTTGAGAGCCTTTTTTAAGGTGCTGAGTGTTCCTCCCTAATTCCTACTAAAGTCAGTCCAGTTGATGAAAACTAGCACACTGCAGCCCTGTATCTTAGAGCTCCCTGTAGCATTTCCAGTACTTGATCCATGGCAAATGCCACAGGGGAAAAGACACAGAAAGTCATCACAATTTGCTGCCAAAGCTGTGTCTACACAGACAATGCAGAGCCATATAAAAGTACCCAGCGTCGTCGTACTGACGCAACACCCCTGCTTTAGAGTAGCATGCCCCATGAGGGTATCTACTTGGCAGGATTAATTAACCTTAAGGGAACACCAGAATTTAATAAAGTGAACAAGAGATATCTCTGCATGGAACTACAGTATGCTGGATGTACATTCCCTGGTTACTAAATTGAAAGCAGCAGCAAAGCATAGATTTTACCATATCTATAAAAGAAATCAGGCATACATACTAAGTGGCTTGTTAAAAGCATACAGGAGGCTGAAACAAGGCTAGGAGTAATAGAGTTCATGCTGACATGACTTGGCAATGACATTTGTTTTTAATGAAATAAAAGGAACAAAAAGTACAGTCAAATCAAACTCTATAAAAGCAGACCCCATGGAGATTGTTAGAATTACTGTATAAACTGTAAGTACTTATGAACAATTCTACCTAAGAAAAGACAGACTTTCTACCAGGAATATTTTCTGTGATTCTACCTAGAATCAGCTGAGATTTTGACACAGGATTTTATGGAGCTGAGAAATAAAAGATTTTAAGGAATTTACTGTTGGAATCAAGTCTCCAGAATGCTTTAATTTGTAACATCTATCTTCAAGAATACATCCCTGTGGCCATGAGGAGATAATTCTGTAATCAGGAATTACTGCATGTCTTAGTGACAATATTCAGCTCTTCCTAAATGCCCAGTGTGACACAGAGGATACTGGGATCAAGGGCTGTCAGTGTGGAACAGATGGATTTCTGTTCTACTTTAGGAAATTATAACATTACCTTGTTTTAATTTCAGGGCTCATCCCATAGCACTGTGACAAGCCCTTTGCTGTGAATGTTTCCACTAGTTTTTATCTAAAGCATTGATAATGCAAAATGTTCAAACAAACTGAAGAATTGAACTTCCTGAGAACTGTGAACATACATACCAATGAATCGAACTGATCACGTGGGCAAGCAAACAGCCGTCCATTAACACTTAGAGTTGTAAACACTGAAACATCATGAGGTTTGAGCACAACCTTTTCTGTAAACATGAAACAAAAGATTATTTTATATATTTTTATATATATA